TATTCCATCGTGATGCGTGTAGTCATTCGTGACTGCGCTACACACTGAAAGCAACCTTCTGATAAGCGTCATAGTTCGGTTAGAAGACACGTTAAAGTTCTATAGATGACATAACAAAGGAATAAATGTGTTTGGGTTTTTCCCACGTTATATCAGTTGCACGGAAGTAGCTGTCAACGCAAGTAATCCGGGCGCTGCACCTTTAACCGCTCCCGCGGACGGCAATCACTTTCTGGCAGACAATCACTTTTTGGCACAACACGTTGTAGCTTTTCAGCTCACAGCCCGACACACGCCAACACAACAGCATAGATAGCACAGACGTTAAGGCGGCGTCCTCCTTCCCTTCAGCGGCGCTGCAGACCAGGCCCCGCCACACACATTAACCAGGTAAAATACATATTTAGGCAGAATTTTGCAAATATCTATTTTTCATTTTTCAGCAGCACAGTGCTTTTTTTCCAATTATTTTTTTAAAAGTCAGATCAAGGCTCCAAAAGTTTTTGTTTGCTGGGTCATTTTAGTTCCGCTGGGTGTCTTTGCTTTTGTTATATTTCTTTAAGAGTTCAAAATGTATTAATTACATAAATAAAATGTAATTTTCTCTGTAGCACTTCATGGTTTTAAGCAACGCACCTTAGTTGTTCACACAAAGCATAAAGGTAAAAAAACAAACAAACCCAAAAAAAAAACAATATATACAGTGTTATCTTCATTTTAGATGTCAAAAAGTATTTGCGGCTCCCAGTGTTTTCTTTTGCGTGGAAATCGCGTCCAAATGGCTCTTTGGGTGCTAAAGGTTGCTGACCCCTGCACTAGGTTCTATATCAGTATAAAGCGCCTTGAGACTGTTGCTGTGATTTGGCGCTGTATAAATAAAACTGAATAGAATAGACAAGCACAGCACAATTCCAAACAAATTAATATATATATATAATTTACTGGTATGATACCAGAATTTCAATAATTCTGGTAATATTGATTTACATTTTATGTTTTAGAGAAATTGCCACAGAAACAAGGCTAGAAAAATATTGTGACTGTTAAAGACAGCAAGCCCAAATATCTCCACCTGTTAAAACTCCTTTTCCCCCCACAGTAACTCGTTTTACAAAGTCAAACATACAGAGAAAAGACTGCTGTGTTTACCGTAATAAGGACACTGGTTTACAGCTTCTTTTGGACTCAAACTCTGGATGTGTTTGGTTGATTTTTAAGTTTTCTAGTTCGTGTGATCATCTTCTGCTGAGCAGCCTCTGAACCATGAAGAAACTTTCCGTAAGTCCACACTGCTGTGGATGCTGTATCTGTGACACTGACATGATGCTTGAACCTACAGTTTTGGTCATAGTGACCCTGCAGCTTCCTGTTGTTTATGAGATGTTCGCACCAGTGGGAATTAAAAAAAGTGGGAAAAGGAAAAAAGAAATAGTTCGCCTGTAATTAATGGACGTGTTTTTCTACATTTTCAGTATACATACTGCAGTATAAATATATTCCTTATGGCAGCACAGTTTGTGAGTAAAGGGTTAGAGTGAGTCACTTGATACGTCAGCAAATAACATTTTCTGTTGAAAGTAGAAAACAACTAGAGAACAGACGGAGTCAGAGCTGAAGAGTCCTCCCGTTTTATGTCCTCACTGAAAGCAGAGGCGTTTTTTTTAAATTCAGATATTTTAACGAATCTCTGTTTTTCTCGCTTTCTCTCATCTATATGACAGCAATCACTGAATGAGATACTTATACATTGTCTCTAAATATTTCTTTGATTACACTTTGAATTCCAGTCTTTAAGCATCAGATATTCAGATCAGATCAGATATTGGTCTTCACAATCCACAACAAAAAAGAGGGTATTGCTTCTTTTTAAACATGCACGTGTAAGCGGTAGTATCACAAACATTAATTCAGTAATTACAATGACTGTGGTTCATTAAAAAATCATGCTGGCGCCTCGCAATGGCCAGAAGCAGCGGGTACGCCATCTGTCAGAAGTGGGCTGACGCGTTTTGAGCCACGCTTTGGAGCAGTGTTTCGAAATCTTGTAAATTCTAAATTCTAAAACTACGGTTATTACCCGACCCTAAAACTCAATGAAATATGGTACATAACCAGATTCGTACTCTGGATGGCATTACCTTGGCAATGTAGGACTGCTTTCTTCCATTTACGCAACATCTCTAAAATTAGAAACATCCTGTCTCAGAGTGATGCTGAAAAACTAGTTCATGCATTTATTCCTTCTTGGCTGGACTCCTGAAAATTCATTATTATCAGGATGTCCTAAAAACTCCCTGAAAAGCCTTCAGTTGATCCAAAATACTGCAGCAAGAGTCCTGACAGGAAAGAGAGAGCAGACTTCTCCTGTACTGGCTTCCCTTCAATGGCTCCCTGTTAAATCCAGAACTGGAACAATCAGGCCCCAAGGTTATCTTAATGAACTTATTGGACCGTATCACCCCAATTAGAGCACTTTGCTCTCAGATTGTGGGGTTATTGTTGTTCCTAGATTATTTAAAAGTGCAATGGGAGGCGAAGCTTTCAGGCCCCTCTTCTATGAAAACAGTCCCCTGTTTAGATTCAGGATGCAGACACCGTCTCTACTTTTAAGCTTTAAGAGCCTTAAAATTTTCCTTTTTGGTTAAGTTTATAGTTAGGGCTGGATCAGGTAAGCACAAATCTTCCCTTATTTAAGCTGCTATAGATTTAGGCTGCTGGGAGCTTAGAAGTAGAATGGGAGGGAGAGTCTTCAGTTTTCAGGCCCTTCTGCTGGCGGTTACTTCCTGTCAAATCGGAGTTATTCCTTCCTACTGTTGCCATTGTGCTTGCTCATAGGGGGTCATATTGGGTAGTTAGTTGTATGTATTATTACTGAGTCTACCTTTCAATATATAGCGTCTTGATGCGACTGCTGTTCTGATTTGGCACTGTATAAATAAAATTGAACTGAAACATCTGTGCTTCGGAAGCTTGATGCAGTCTCGAAACATTAGTTTCGAGCTTCCCATCCCTACTTTTAACTTCTTTTTTCCCCCATATTGTCCACTTTAGATATTGTGTTAGTGATTTAACCCTGGTCCTGTTGTTATCATTGGGGTTTTCTGGTAACAGCCGGCAGGTTTATGAAGTTTTGTGGTGGAAACTGGTGTGGTAGTGGAATTGTGTGTAGTCTGTCTGGTTGATTCCCAACTGAATTCATAGTAGAACCAGTGGACACGTTTCTTTGTTAATTGATTTACATTTTTTAAATACTCAATAGAGTTGCTTGTAGCAGCAGTTGAAATGGGCATTTCCGACTGCAGTGTTTGTCTTAACATTAAAAAGACTGACCACCTCTCTGCAGGGCAAGTAGTGTTGTCAGTACCAAAAGCTGAAAGGTCACAGTCTCGTGCAACAGCTCCTGATAGAGTGGTCTATACTGATATTTTAATATTTAGATTCAAAGTGATGCAGGAGAATGTTCTGTTTTACTGGTGTTGTACCTTACCTTCTGCATTGGTTCAGATCATAAAATGCTTTTCTAAGTAGGAGAGTAAGAGTTCCTCATCTATTTCTCTTACCTATGGTGTGCCACATTTGGCTCTTCTTGTTTCTATTATGTCTGCTCCCTCTTCTGCATATTCTGAGCACCTTCAAGGACATTTAATATCACTGCTATGCAGATGAAATTCAAATATACATCTCTTTTTAACCCCAAGATGTTTCTAAGCTGCTGATCCAAAATAATTTCTTAGACTCTCTTCAAAGTTGGATGGCTGACAACTTCCTGCAACTTAATGAAGAAAAAACAGAAGTTCCTGTGTGTGCCCTGACAGATTTCTGCCAAAGGTAGCTCCTTTGTCCCCTTACAACATTTGGTAAATCATCTATCAGGAACCTTAGAATTTTGACTCTTTGTTCATTCTTGATGTTCATGTGTAATCTCTAGTTTGCTCTTTTTGTTTTCACTTGCCAAGTTAAGTCCCATTGTGTCACGCTCTGAACCTGAGATTATTATTGATGCATTTTTTTCATCTTGTGTAGATTATTGAAATTCATTGTTCACTTGTCTAAGCAGAAACTCCTTGGAACACCTGCAGGTTGTTCAGTGTGAGGGACCAAGCAGCCCAGGCACAGAGGACACAGGAAAAAATGGTTTTCTTTCTTTTAACCCTCAAAAAAGTTCAAAAGACAAAATTTAAAAACACAACTAGCAGGCCCATAAAAGAGGTCAACTAAATATAACTCTACAAAAAGTATTTTCCAGAAACTTAAACAAATCGGACACAACTTAACTCACAAACTGACCTAATTACAAAGACACAAGAGGGTAGCTTTTATGGTGGTTTGGCCAAACCATTTAAAAATGATTCATGAATTATAGTAATGAAGAAAACTGCAAACCAAACTAATAAAGTGAACAAATGGACTGATTTACCCATGTGTGGCTGATGCCATCACATTCAGAACACTACTGTGAGGCTTATTGTTCTAAGTACTTTCATACCTCACCATTGCTGACCCAGCTCCACACTGAATTCTGGGTCCATTTTAAGATTCTGTTTTTGACTTCCGGAGCTCCTCCATACATTCCCAGCAGCTCCTTGAAGTCATGTGATCAGGGACTACTTGTTTTGAATAATACGAGACTGAAAACTGGAGCTTTGCCACAGTGTCCCCCAGACTCTGAGATCTTGAGATCTCTGGACTCAGTGGTCTCTTTCAAGAGGCAGGTAAAAATGCATCTTTTTAGACTTACATTTGGAAATTTTTTAACAATATTAAAATTAAGTTCTGTAGTTTTTTTTTTCTGTTTTTTTTTATTGTGAAGCACGTGGTGGCTATAAGACTATAAGTGGAAATTCCAACATTAGAATAAATACTAGAGATGTGTTAACAATAGTAAACATGTTTTACATATTCAAATCACTGAAACCTACTGACACTGGGTATTTTGGAAGATTGTGTGGTTGTTTTACACGATCCAGTAACAGAAACACATACTCTTTTTTTTTTTTTGAAATGCAGACATTTTCTTTATTTTGCTTCAAAGAAGCTAAACTTGAAGTCTTCACTAGACTTATATAGTCCCACTAGGACAAAACCTTGAGCATAAATAAATACAAAGTAGAGTAGCAGACCAAATAAATAGATCATTCTTCAAATACCATTTGAAGTTATTGTTATGTAACAAAACTATATAATAGCTTTTTTCAATGAGAAGGTCATCAATATGAATTAAATCAAGTAATAAAATACCCAGATTACATTTACTGCACTATGCAGGAGGAGTCTGTAAACAGAACTAAGAGAGCAAACATCTACAAAACATATTATTGATAAATAAACAGTAAATAGCTAAGTGTATAAATAGGCTTGTGTGACTTTTGAAGCCGCATTAAATATTCCCAGCGATGTTCCTTCTAAGTCACAGCCTGCTCACTATGAGCATGCTGCAGGACTTCACACCGCTGATTAGACTTGGTGCATTTCATGAACTTCATGCATTTTATGCGTGTCATGTGATAGCAGGTCTGGATGGTTCTCCCCTAGGAGCTCTGGGGTCTGACACAGGTACACCCCACAGCTACTTCCACATTCACTGGCCTCAGACGGTAAGTCTTCTTATCGTCACAAAGCTCCTTTTTGAGAAACACTCTGTTCTGAACGATGGGAACTGAGTTGTAGTCATAGTCCTCAATCATTTTATTGTCTTTGAGCTGGATGCATCCTGAACACAGGCACTGAGCACCAACATATGTCGAAGGAAAGTGATCTTCCTTGATGTGAGTTCTGTTAAAAACAAAAGAGGACTCGGTGAGCTACAGTTTATTCAGACATGTGGAGCGTGTGGTTCTATATGTCAGTAACAGCAGATGGTCTTAGTAAATACAGAAGCCCCGTCCAAAATGTTAGGAAAGCAATCCTAAGAACAGGGCACATTCATCCTGTGCTATTTTCTTTCTTTTCTTTTCTTTTCTTTTCTTTTCTTTTCTTTTCTTAAAACAAAACAAACAAACAAACAAACAAACATCAAGCTGTCAACAAAATTTAATCAAACCATTCACCACAAGATGGCAGCGTTTGGCTTGAAGGTTTTAGCGTCATTTGATACAGAATTATACTATTTTGTTCTTTTGAAGTGACTTTTTTATCGTTACCTGAAGAGACGACTTGTAAATCTCATTTATTTATCTGTTTTCTGTTCTCTCCAGTTATGGTTAATGAAGACACAGGATGCAGTCATTCCCGGCAGCTATGTACCAAGAGAGCTTCATTCGCAGTAGGTGACGCAAGCATTGGATGAATCGGGGAAAATCCCCCGATTCATCCAATGCTTGCGTCACTTGCGCTGGAAGGACCAGCGCCAATTATCACTCAAGGCCAACTTAGCGACTTTGTCGCTATATTTAGCGAGTTTTCAGACCCCTTAGCGACTTTTTTTTCTAAAAAAAAAAAGAGTCTTTGAGTCTTTCAAAGACATGAAAGCGCGTATCGCTTTTACTCTCAACAAGCAGCGGGTGCTGTAACGCAGTCAGTTCTTTTAGTCTTTTACTCGTATGCTGTTTTGTGGATCACAAGGTTTAAAACTACTTATAAACACACACAATGTAACTCCACCAGAGTGCCTATTTCGGGTCACTTTTGCCGGTCCAAGCCCGGGTAAAGGAGCAGGGTTGGAATTGTGACATTAAAAAAAACAATAATTGCTAAAAGAAATTTAATTTGTAGTTCTAAATAAACTCTAAATGCATTTAGGACGTTTTTTTACTCACTTTATATCTCTTCCACGATGTTATTTCTCTCTCCAACAACATAGGATTAGCATGACCAATTATGCAAATTAGGCGATGACGTCATTTAGCGACTTCTAGCGACTTTTAGGACAACCAATAGCGATTTTCCTTACTGAGGAGTTGGCAACACTGCTCAAGGCACGCAAATAAGCTCGACTGTGCGCTGATTATGGCTTTATTTTACCGTGTAGCCGTGTGATCCCCGAGTTATTTATTCTCTTATCTGTTTAGCTGTTATGTCTCTTTCAAAATTCAAAACAAGAAGTTCTAGTTTCTAACTGCTGTTCATTTATATTTGCGCGCAGTAGACCGGTTTGTAATTAGCTGTTGTTAAGGATTTTACTACGTCATAAAAATGAAAATCGAGCTTCTAGTTTGCGCCTCACTCTGTGTAAAGGTTTGACTCAAGTCTGACGTGACAAAGACCCCAAACAAAATGTAAAGATGGAATTTTTGTAAAATCTCTTCACACTTTTTTATCTTTCGGGAACTTCTCTCACCCGCTGTTTGTGCGAGGTTAGAAAGGACTTTTATATATTTTAAAACATCATTTGCTTCATATGCTGCGTGTTAAATACTGAATAACATCGGGATTTAAAATGTGCTCAGGCTGCTGCTTACACGAATCTCCAGGGGGACAGAGACCTGTCTCGCTGCTCATCTGACAGCGGCGTCTTGTAAAGTTCCAGGGGACAAGAGTAAGATGAGCTGCGAGCCGTTGACCGCGGAGCCTCTGTGGGCCGCAGGTAGTGCGTCCTCAGCTTCCTGTCCGCCGCTGCCTGTAGCTCCTGGTCGTTATAGCACCGGAACATCTTGGACGACCACATGGGCACGATGAACAGTACGAAGATGAGAACCTGGGGAGACGCAGGCAAACCATGTCATTTCATTCATACAGATGTGAAAAAAAGCAGCAGTCTGGAGGTGAAAGCAGAAGCAAAGGGAAAACAGTGATGGAGGTAGCAGAGGCAGATGTCCCGCATTCGACTCACCGGTTTATAGTCCATCCTCCGACTCTGAGCTCTGTCTGATTCTTTCCAAGATTAACCGGTCGGTTCATGACATCCAGTCATTCATCTCTTATTTATGTATACAAAAGATGGGGGCGTGGGAGGGGAGAGGGGGGGGGTGCTTTAACTTCCTTGTTTCCGGCAGTGAAGCAGCTGTAGCACCGGCAGTAGGTGAGGATACTGTCATAGAGAACACAGACCTGGAATTTCTTCTCTCTCTCTCTCTCTCTCTCTCTCTCTCTCTCTCACACACACACACACACACACACACACACACACACACACACTGACAACTGAATCACCTGTGTGGTGCCTTTCACACCTTCTATTTAATGTTATAACAGTAAACATTAGAGAAACACAAACTAATCTTTCGAGCAGGGGTATCCTACTATCAGATTACTGTCGAAACAAATAAATGTTATAAATATTTATAGAAGATCTTGGTGAAGAATATCAGCAAACATGTTGTCACTCAAATGCATCTATAAATGTTTATACCTGCGCAGGGAGAGAGCCTCTGACCGAAACTGTACAAAGAAAAATCATCCCAGTTCCTGTGATGGTTGGGTGTAGTTAGGTTTTAAAGACATTGTAAATTACTCAATAGAGTTATTCACTTATACATTTTTAATTTCAGAAATTCACGTCCACACACTAGGGGGCACTACAGGGATTAAACAAGTGGGTCAATCCGACATTCCCGTGGGGCTATCCACACCAACTCACCTGGCGATAAGTTGTAACTTTTTCTTTTGAAGTTAATGCGACTTTATAAAATCTCAGAGCTACAGTAGACACAGTGGACATTTGTGTGATTCCCCTGAAGCTTAACCAGTAGCTTAATTTTTACATGGGACTGAAACGTGTTTTTACTCTAACAAAGTCTAAATGATAATTTACAACTAAATTCTTCCTAAAGCTTTACAATGATAAATTAAAAATCCCCTACCGTAATGAAGAATCTTTATTTTTCTCCAATTATTAGCAAAAATAATAGAAAAGAAATAAATGAAGAAAGTTGACTCTTGCTATAGCTTTTAAGATTAAAAACCCTAAACACACACTGCTGATCCCAGTTCCTGTGAAGTGTCAGGCTACCATGCTCTGCCAGAGTAGCTTCTAGTACTGATTCCAAGTCTGACTCTACTGAAGGGATGAACACTATTGTTTCAAAAGACATTTCCTCATGTGGGTTTTTGATGATGCTGCTGGAGAGGACTTTCTAATTTGTCATAGCTGAGCTGAGATCTGGTTGTTGTCATCACCTTTTGTATGCTATGGATGTGTGCAGTGTCATCCTGGAAGAGAACACTCGCATCAGGACATACAGATGAGGAAAACCCTGTTAGCCCACATCTGAAATTCAAAGTTTTTGTCAAAAAGTCTTTTAATTTTATTTAATTAATTTTTTTTGTTTTTTAACAGAGCAAGGGATTTTCAACACAGAATTTCTAAACATAGCAGTTTTATTTAGAAAGCATAAATTCCTCAGTTTCATACTTTTATTAAGACAAAGCACAAACCACTGCTGTGCAGTGAAGTTCTTTAACTTTGTAACGTCCAAAGCTTCTAAAATCAAGTGAACACGCTTTGCTGACACCCTTCTTGACAAGGGGAACCACCCCAGTCTACCAATCCAGAGGCCCTGTCCCTGACTGTTGCAGTCAGTGTTGCAGAGGTGCGTCAGCCATGACAGCCCCACAGCATCTAGAGCCGGGTGAATCTCATCCATTCCAGAAGCCCTGCCACCATGGAGTTGTTAACTGTCTCTGTGACCTCACCTCCATTGATGGACAAATCATTCCTTTCACTGCCTGATATAGTTGGGGGAGTGGTTGAAGGAATAATATCTGGAATGACAGAATAGTCCCACCCCCAATATACACAGTGTAGAGAGGAAGCTGCTTTTTCTCCTGAATTGTCTAAAGGCTTACCAGAACCACTTCGAGCCCTGCTCAATTGCTTCACCATATTTGTCGCATTCTGCTTGGCCTGCCAATAGCTTCCAGCTGCCTCTAGAGTCCCACAAACTAGCCATGCTTGATGGAACTCCTCCTGAAGCTTAGCAGCTCCTTTCACCTCCATTTGGTTTGAGGATTACTGTCATGACAAGCACTAGCTGCTTTGGAGACACGACTCAGCACAGACCCAAAAGCAATGGAGATGCAGAACATGGTCCATTCAGATTCACCGTCCCTAATTTCCCTCCCTTGTCCTGTGTCTCAGGGATTCTGACAGTTAGTATGATTTATGATGATTCATTCACATTAGCATATTACAATGTTGCAATCAGGACTTTGTAAGGCACAATAATTAAAACACTTTGATCAGTTATTAAATAATTTATTTAACAAGAACTTAGAAGTGAACAACATAATGTTTAATGATCCACATTTCACTGTTTACTACTCTTTGCATCTGGGGATTTTATATTGTTCTGTCTATGTGAGTTTTTATGCTTAAATAGTTTTTTGCTAATTTGAAGTGTCTGATCACCATGTTGCTTTTTCCTTTGTAAATGCTCCTTAAAGATTGGTATTTTGTCTGTCGCCGTGTTGGGTAACCAGGAGTGGTAGCAACCTTGGTTAGCAAGCGGCATTCATAAAATATGCCGGTACAACACCTAGACAGACATACTAAGTTCTGAGCAATCTTCTTGTAGTGTCTGTACTGCACAGCAAGACATATTATTTGTCAGATAATTCCATTGACAAGTAGAACTGGTCATGCCCATGCTATAAAATTGGGTATTTAACACAGGAGTCTATGGAAATCAACTTACTTTTTGAGAGTAATTTAAGTTTATGCCACCTCCAAACTGACTTCAATTACTAGTCCCAGAGGTTGACACATGCACCTACCCTTTAAGCTTCAGTACTAAACTCTGTCTAATTATTCTTAGTAACATAAAAAAGAAGGCTCCCTGGAGCTGTCACTGTTTGGACCTCTAATAAATAAGGTTCTATCCAATCACAACCAACAATGAAAGCTCCTACATTCTCCTGTGTATTATGCTGATGTTATTTCGATTTCCACAGTTCCTATTTGCCTCGGCACAAACACTACCAATGATGTCTTCTTGTTTTTCAGGAAACGTGCAATAAATGTAAGAAAGCACCTGCCAGCCTAACCACAGTGTCCAGAGAGCACATGGTACCATGCCGTTATGTCCATGTAGATTCCACTGTTCCCCTTTCTTCCCTCAAGGACATTCAGTGTTTTCAAACAAACCCCTTTCCAACACATGAATTATAAAACAAAACAAAACAAAACAAAAAACAAACAAACAAAAAAACCCTCCATTTAAACTTCCCATTAAAATATGTAAATATAACAAGTCATTATATCTTGGCATGAATGAGTGTCAACAAGAAAATGGGAAACTATCACTGCCCTGCCCCATAAAAGTAAGTGTGAAGTATCTTCAGTGAATATTTTTGCTCGCATCTTAGCATCATCTCCTTCTGATATTTCCTCATATACTCTTATGACATGTCATAAATGCTACTGTAATAATTGTTATTATTACCCAAATAGTAAAGACAGTAGAACAAGAAAAAAAAGTATTCACCGTCACCTTCTCCAGCTGACCTTGTTGCTCGTGTTGTCAGATTTGGCACGAGTCACTTTTTCACGAGTTATTTTGTCTTTTGATGTTGTTTCTGTCCTGTTCAGTTTCTCCCGTAGATGAAAGACATGGATGCTGTATATTAGCAGTAATATTGAGTACAGCATGAAAATAAAAAAGTGTAGTTTCATGTCCAGTTTAAAGAGACTTAACAAAGACTCCAAATGGCTTAAAAAAAGATGTGTGTGGTTTCGTTTTGTTTTTTTAAATTAACTATATCTACTCTACAAGAGTACTCAAAATTTGTTGTATTTTGCCTGGGAATCTTACTGTCACAGTGTCTGACCGCATTGGGGCATTTTGTCGATATGCTGGTTAATTTATCAACAGAGGGGAATGTCCTCTTATCTGCACAAGTGTTTCAGGGGCATTTGCAGGTAACTTTCCAATGGTCATTCTACTTAGAGGCCATTCAACATCCCACATAGCAAGCAGGTCTGGCCCGGATCTGGTATCAAGCCGGCACTGCTGGCTGACTTCTGGCATGATAAGGCGTATGTCATCCAGATATGGGCCAGGCCTGGCATAGATGGCACTGTCTATGTGATGGCATGCCACATCTGGCTCGATTGTGATTCGGTTTATGTGGCCCAGTCTCATAGAAAACAGGTCTGGCCCGGATCTGGCATCAAGCTGGCACTTCTGACTGACTGGTGTCATGGCAGAGTGTATGTCAACCAGATGTGGGCTAGGTCTGGCAATGATGGCACTATTTATCTCCTATTTTAGTTAGAAGACCCAAATGTCATTTTGCAATACTATACTGCTATAGTAGCCAACGTTTCAAATGCAGGTTTGACAGGTTTGTGAGTGTACACTTTATCCAAAACCTAGTTAGGGTTTACTCGTGTTTTCCACTGTGTGGCTGTAGCTCAGGAGGTAGAGCAGGTCACCTACTGATCTGAAGGTTAGTGGCTCGATCCCTGGCTCCTCCAGTCTGCATGTCAAGAGTGTGAATGTGTATGAATGTAGTTAGGAAGCACCCAGTTAAGAGAAAGTGTGTGATTTGTGACTGTGGCATATTGTATAGAGTACTTTAAGTGGGAGACTAGAAAAGCACTATATAAGATTAAGTCCATTCACTGTCTGAACAGTTTCGTCATGTTCCAACACATGTTGTTATTACATGGCTTGATTAAGGTACACATTAGGATGACATCTTGGACCAGCACAGGACCACCAGTTTGTCTACAACTGGCCCGTGGCTGCCCACATACTGCAAAGAATGACGGCCCTTTGGTGGCCCAGATCAGGTTTGCCAGAGGTAATCCACACATGGGCCAGCACAGGATCTCCAGTGTCTATGCAACTGGCCTTGTGCTGGGCCACCAAAGGGCCGTCATTCTTTGCGGTGTGTGGGACAGATCTGGGCCATACCAATTTTGCTATGTGGGATTGAAAAGCTTTTGCAGATGCAAACGTGAATGTCTCTAGACATCTGCAAATTACAAAGAGCCAAAGAGACTTCACTACTAGTGCCTAGTGACTTCACTAGAGTTGGCTGTTTCATTGACTTAATAATCCTGTCTGCACTCATTTAAGTTAATGTTATAAATGCAGGCCTATATAGCCAACCTTGCTGCATAGTTTGGCCATGCACATTATTATTACTGCAAACATTAAAACATCTCAGCTGGCAGGCACTCAGATCTTAATGTAAATGTTTGAAGTTCATTATGTTTTCAGTTTTACAACCATTCATTATATATAATTTGCTACCAGTTCTAAACATATTATTGCTATTGTGAATTTTTAATTGACGATGGTTAGTATGTAAAACAATGAAGAATTAATTGTAGACTTTAGTAATGACTTAAAACTTGACAAAAGACTTTGGGGTCTTAACTTTGGACTCATAAGTCATGATTTGAGAGTTAATATTTTGATTTGGGACTTGATCACCTTAACTTGTGTCCTCTAAACAACAATGCATGACATCACCCTTCAGACAAACTTCAAAGAAGTATAACAGGAATAGCGAGTCTTCTGTGGTGTTGGCAGCAGTCCATGTCCAAAAACAATATAATATTTGCATAACAGAGATGCAGCCAAGGAGACTCACAGGTTAATATGGACATCCATCAGCCTAAATCCTTAAATTCAATGACAAGTCATAACCATGTTGGAAGCGTCACTTACCTGTTGGCAGATTTGTTTGTTTATTGTGGTCTGGTATTTCCCCTAAACTATGTGCTCTGGGTGCTCAAAGTAGTTCCTATTTATGACTTCCTCCAGGATTATTTCTTGAGTCTGTAGGCAACTTTTTCCCACGACTGCAAAGTTGATGTGGTTCATTTTTCTAAAATTTCTCCAAAATTGCAATAAAAGTGTTTCCACTACATGCCAAATGGGGTGTTCAATGTTAGAGAGTTGTTTATTCAGTTATGTCGACGTTATGGAAAACTAAACAAATTTTTTGGTTCAGATACAGGTCACATGTTTGGAAGAGGAATTCCTAAATGCAAAACACTTCATGCATCCAGAAAATACCCCACATAGATCACATAGCTTTGAATATATCTATCTATCCACACACACACACCTATCTATCTATATGTATGAATAAATAAAATTCCCCTCTCTCCCCTGTGGGCGGTCTATCCTTCAAGCTCGAGTCCTCTACCAGAGGCCTGGGACTTAAGGGTCCTGCGCAATCCGGTGCAGTATCTTTGCTGTTCCCAGGACTGCGCTCTTCTGGACAGAGATCTCCGATGTTGTTCCTGGGATCTGCTGGAGCCACTCGCCTAGCTTGGGAGTAACCGCACCAAGTGCTTCGATTCCCACTGGGACCAGTTACCTTCGCCCCTCACATCATCTCGAGCTATTGATACTTCTCTAGCTTCTCGTGTTCCTTCTTCCTGATGTTGCTGTTATTCGGTATCGCAACATCTATCACTACACTGGGATGTCGTGCTTGGAGAAAACTCCTGAGTTTCTCTGATTGTCATCCCCTATGTAGCCAGTGTATCAGAGAAACTCATGAGAGTTTTCTCCAAGCATGACATCCCAGTGTATTTCAGACCCAGCAACACACTCAGACAAAAACTGGTTCACCCGAAAGACAAAACTCCAAAACACAAACTTAACAATGTGGTGTATGCTGTACAGTGTAGTGAGGATTGCCCAGACCTCTACATTGGAGAGACCAAACAGCCACTTCACAAGCGCATGGCACAACACAGAAGAGCCACCTCCACAGGACAAGACTCAGCAGTCCATCTGCATCTTAAGGATAAAGGTCACTCTTTCGAGGATGCCAATGTTCACATTTTGGACAGAGAGGACAGATGGTTTGAAAGAGGAGTGAAAGAAGCCATCTATGTCCACTGTGAGCGACCATCTTTGAACAGAGGCGGGGGTTTACGACACCAACTCTCTGCCATCTATAATCCAGTTTTGAGATCCCTTCCCAGACGCCTTTACGCCCACTCACATCCTGGGCCATCTGACCTCAGGAAATCACATGATAGGGTGGGGCCAGGTTTCACAATGAGCTCACCCGAAACCCTGGCTGACTGGGACCCACACCCATTTTCACACCTTGGCTCATGTAATTAGGTAGAGGATCATCAGGGGGTTCTTTGTCCCTCTTTGGGGGAAAACTCCCACTGGGCTTAAATCTGGGACTCTCCACCATTTGACTCTTAGAACTGAAGAAGCTTCTCGGATGAGAGGTGAAACGTCTTCAAGCAACTTAAAGAAGTCCAGATGCTTTTCTCTCCAAGCTCCTTAGACTATGATGACCTGGATGACTGAGAACCTTCACAGACATATGGTGTACTACCAGTTAATGCAGTACACCATAGTGTTTGCATCTATCCAAAAGATCGACATAGCCAATGTGACATCAGTCACTGGTTGTTGCACGACTGGCCACTGGCGAAGTTTAGACTTCGATTACTAGGCTCACTTTTCTTCCAGCACCAGGTTTTTCTCTTTGTAGAACTGGTAGTTGCTGAGAAATTGCAGTCAGGACCGCAGTGGTGACTGACACTGCCCTGTCAAAAGCAAAACTATGATAAGATCAGGTATGACCTCACTGTGACCTTAGGAGCAATGCAACGGCTTAACAAAGAAATCGATAGTGACTTTATTAGAGATGGCAGATGGGAATTTCTCAACACTCAATTGTGATGGTTCAATGCTGTGAATAGATTCATGATAATGCGCTAGCTTAAAAAAACATGGACGTTCTTAACAAACATCTGTATGCTGTTTAAATTGAACAATGCCCCTTTGAAATTATTATACATTACTGTGGATCTGTACTGTAACACATTTTCTTTTTTCAACAGTCGACAGCACACAAAGGAACTTGTCTTATCAAAATAGTTTATTTAGAGGCTTTTCTCACAAAAGCAAGACATACGTTGTCTCTAAATGTTCCCATTCCACCTCAGACTCCTCCAACAAAAAATGTGACAGAAAACATTGTTTTATCACTTAAGAGCTAAGAAAACAAAACGTTGGAATTTTTTAAAAAGCAGTACTTCACATCAATGTGGTTTATAATGATATGCTTGAAAGGTTCTGAGCTGTGAAAATGACCACTATCCTAAAACACAGCAAGGAGGCGAGGCATTGGTTAAAGAGGGAGCTGGGCCGAGTATGGATGCTTGTGAACTTGGAGATTTGTACAAAGAAACGCTCTGAGGTCCTGTGGGCTGTTGGTACCCTGTAGAGCTGAGCCAACAGTCACACCACTGCACATACAGGAAAAAGGAGAAAAAAATGCAAGAACAAGACAGTAAAAGAGATAGAAACGGCTCAGTGTTCATAGATCTATTATTCACCACACCATGAGGAAAATGCTTCCATTCTAGTGAGGGAACAAAGTGAGCAGCAGGTAAACACAGTACCCCTTTACTATCCTGTCTCTGCATTATGAAGTCTAAACATATTGCACTCCATTCCTGAGACGTCCCTTTCCTTGCCAAATGCCCAGATGACCTCTTCTATTTGTGAGGTAATATGTGGCTGAGACATTAAAAGGATTTTAACGGGAGCAAACTCGGGAACATGGAAGTGATCAATGTTCGAAAAATGAAGCAGAGCCCATCAAGCCCAAGGTGGTTTTTGTGGCAATTACTTCCTGTTCACTCACACAACAGCCTTTATAACCAAACCATACAACATTTTTACATGTCCATTGGAGATTTGAGAAAAAACAAAACAAAAAACAGTCCACCCTGTGACCCTCATAGTTGCCCAGGCAGACTTTGCATGTGGATGAACAGGTTAGGGCTGTGCTGCCATTTATTTGGCAGGAATCTTTGCTCGTTTACGGGCGATGGCATCTTCCACAGCCTTCAGCTGTTTCAGAAGCTCCTCGCGCCGGGACAGCGTGTTGCTGGGTTTGCTAGAACCTGATCCGGCACCCGATGCTGGACTCGGTGTGACCAGCTTGGCCGATGGAGCTGCTGGGCTTTTCCCAGATGATTTG